CTCGCCCAGAGAGGAGCAGCTCCCCAGCCGGTGTTAGATATCACGGAGACTCACACACCCTCCAGAGCGCCTCAGATTACCAGGCAGAGCTGGGGAAGGAAGGCCTGTCCTTCCAGGCCGGCCTCTCTCATCAGACTCTGGAGGAGTCCGCCTCCCTGTAAAATATACTACATAAGGAGTCATCGGCTAAGCTAGTGTGGGCTCTGGCTTCAGGATGAGTGAGTGTTGCCCCTTAGAACTGAGTGACCTCCCAGGACCTTGATCTTTCATCCCTAAAATGGGAATAATAAAAATAGCACCTATCTCATAGGGTGTTGCAAAAATCATAGCTCTCAGTTGGTGATAACGATCATTACTTAATATTAATTATTATTAGCAGTAATACTACTCTCAGAATTGTTGCACACACTGCATTATGTCCCGGTCGGTACACAGATGTTAAGGGTCTCCTGAAGCTGGTTAAGTAGAGAGGTTGAGAGCATACCGGTAGGCTCTTGGTCTGACTGGGTTTATACCCAGGATGTAGCTGTGTTCCCTTTACTTAAACTTCCCAAGCTTCTCTTTGCTCACCTATAAAGTGAAAAAAGTAATCGGCTGAAACTGGTTTGGCTTAGTGGATGGAGCATCGGCCTGCGGACTGAAAGGTCCCAGGTTCGATTCCGGTCAAGGGCATGTACCTTAGTTGTGGATACATCCCCAGTAGGGGGTGTGCAAGAGGCAGCTGATAGATGATTCTCTCTCATCGACATTTCTAACTCTCTGTCCCTCTCTCTTCCTCTCTGTAAAAAATCAATAAAATATATTTTTTTTAAAAAGAAAAAAGAAAAGTAATCGTGCACATGCCACTACATGGAAGGCGGTTGGGCCGGCTTTCCAAAGCCAGCGTATCTGAGCTGTCCACAGAGCCTGGGCAGTGAGAGCACATTTGTGTATTACTAGGATAATCATGTTATTACTAGGATAATCATGTTATTACTAAGGACCCAGCGCCTGAATTCATGCACCTTCAAAGGAACTGTGGGCCACAAGGCTGCAGCGGGCACAGGGGTGGGTCTCGGCCCATCCTCCACCCCCCCCCCGTCTGGCCCCTCCCACCTCGGACTCCAGTCCCCTTTCTGCCCACAGCCCTGCTCCCACACACTGACAGCGCTGGCCTCTCTCACACCCACTGATGGCACGGAGCGACTGGGGCCAGCATCAATCACCTCTCAGGAGCAGGAGGAGGTGGAGAAGCCCTGAGGGGCAATTGGGGCCAGCAGCCACTGCTCACACCTGCTGACAGTGCCGACGAGTGATCCTGCTGGTGTATGGCACCGGCAGCAGGTGCATGCAGGCCAGTGCTGGCAGCAGGTGTGAGTGCCAGCGGGAACTGCAGCATGTGGGAGCAAAGAATTTTCATAACCACCAGAGGCTCACCCCAATGACAGCAACTGGTGCCCCGCCTTGGTCTGGTGCCCCCACTCACCTGCTCCCCCATCCCACGTGGCTGATGCCCACCATGTTCCACACTCTGCCACCTGCTGCCGATGCCCACCATGCTCTGTGCATGCCCCTTGGTAGTCAATGCATGCCATAGCCACCCGTTGTTTGGTTGTTCCTCTGTGGTCTATTTGCATATTAGGGTTTTATATATATAGATATTAATAGCACCTACCTCAAATGGTTGTAGAGCACTTTATATAGTACCTGGCAATAACTATGCACCATTATTTATTTTTATTTTTTTCTTTATTAAGGTATTACATGTGTCCTTAGCCCCACATTGCCCCCCACCCCCCATTATTATTATTACCCGCATTTTATAGATGAGGAAATTGAGACCCAAAGAGGTTAAGAGACCCAGACCCAGGGACGTGCAGCTAGCTAGTCTCCTGCAGGGCTGGCACTGGAATCCAGGGGTTCTGAAGGTGCCCCGCAGCTGCCCAGCCTGGGAACTAGACAGCTCTCCCCTCCCCTCCCCCTCCAGCTCCCTGGGAACGGAAAGCTGGCTGCCTTCCAAGACCCGCAGCCCTGGAACCCTGCCCCCACTTCACCCTCCCCCATCCCCAGGACAAAGTACACTTGCCAGGGGAACATTCCAGCCCACTGATGGCCAGGCCAGCTAGCTGGCCACGCCCCCAGACTGCACCAGGCATCTGCGCCTGGGGCCAAGCCCCCGGTGCCCCCATCCGGGCCCAGCGCCTGCCTGCTGTGCAGATGCAATTGCACCGGAGGAATTTTCTCTCTTTCCTGGCCTCGGGGACACAAAACTGAAAAGGCCAAGGGACGGGTGGGTCGCAGATACAGAGGATGGCATTTGCCCAGCGGACAGGGCGAAAGCTACATTCTCTGTGGCGCCAACGCTGGGCCCGGCCAGCCCCCTCTTCCTCATTTTGTTCCTTTATATGAAACTAATGCATGCTGCTGTTAAGAAAATAAGGACAAGTAGAACTTGAAAAGAGAAAGATCTCAAGAATCCTCTTAGACAACTGCCATTAATTTTTAGTATGTCCTTCCAGACTTTTCTATGCCCCCAAACACAGAGGTATAGTGACATGAAACAGATGATGCCCTCATACTATTTGTTTGTAATAATAGACTCCCGCTTGTAGAGCAGTTTTAGGTTTACAGAAAGTCGAGGAGAGAGTGCAATTCCCATACACCCATTGTCGCCACCCTCACCGTTCTCCCTGTTCTACACCATCTGCGTTAGTGTGGTTGGTTTGTTATAATAGAGGGACTAATTTTGGTACATTATTATCAACTAAAGCCCATAGCTTAATTAAGAGTTCACTCTTTGTGCTGTAAAGTTCAGTTCTGATAAAGTTCAGATTTGAATTTCACTGGTCCTAAAAATTCCCTGTACTACCACTACTGTCTCTCCCTCTCTGACTGTGCCACTCCCTGATCTTTTCACCGTCTAGTTTTGCCTTTTCCGGAATGTCATATGGTTGGAGTAAGATAGTAAGTAGCCTTTTCAAGCTGGCTTCTTTTACAAAACAACGAAGTTCTTCCATGTATTTTCATGGATTAATTGCTCATTTCTTTTTATCACTGAGTAATATTCCATCTTGTAATGTTTATCCATTCACCTTTGGAAGGACATCTTTGTTGCCTCCAGCTATGAGTAAGACTGCTATAAATATTCATGTGCACGTTTATTATACTGTTTTCTAGTTTGCTTTTTCCCCCCAATTATGTTCTGAATGGTTTTTGGTATTATAAGTAGAGATATATACCATAATTTTGATGGCAACACAAGATTCTAGCACAGTTTAGTTAACCAGCCACTGTTATTGAACATATAGATCGTTGTCTCTGATTCTGACCTGGTAAAACTGCCCGAACTGGTTGGTCTACACTTGACAGTATCTTGTAGTTAAGGCTGAGCCCAATGTTTGAATCTCAGACCCACTAACTGTTTGACCCTGGGCAAAGTTTTTCATTCCCTATGACTTGGTTCCTCCTCTGTGAAATGGGAATAATTCTTGTGAGGATTAAATGAGTTGATGCGAGTAAAGTGTTTTTAGAACATTTTTGAAACTGCCACATGTAAACCCATAAAGTACAGCTTTTAGTATTTGTTATATTGAACATCGACTCTGTGTTCTGAGATAAGCACGGTGGAAATTATCAAAGACTAAATTATGTATATAATCTTACCCTCAAAGAATTTTGGGTTAACACCCACTGGGAGTATGATACAAAGCACAATAATAGTGACTCTTTGTTTTCTCGGTGCTCCGTAGTTCCGGAAAATGACTGGAGAAGAGGTTGAGGAGTTAGAGCATCTTTCCAAGGGTTGATTATGCCAGGGTCACAGTAGAAGAATGAGGGAAGTAGGAAGAATGAGAAATTGAATTAAATTAAGGAATGTGCATAAGAGTCTGAGTTATGATGGATGACCATCAATGGCTATTGAATTTATTACTTTTTGAAAGCTTTTCATTATGTGATTATATTATTATGTGATTCTTCTTTATTTTGTTCATATGGTAAGTTTTAATGATAATTTTTAAAAATATGTTTTTCATTTTAGAGAGGGGAAGGGAGAGGGAGAGAGAGAATCATTTCTTGGCTGCCTCCTACTGGGGACAGAACCTGTAGCCCGGGCAAGTGCTCTGACCCAGGAATCAACTGTGACCTCCTGGTTCATGGGTAAATACTCAACCACTGACCCACACTGGCCAGGTGATAATTTTTAAACTTATACCAACCTTACATTCTTGGAATAACACAAACTTTCTTTGTTAAAAATATACATATATATATTTTATTGATTTTTTTACAGAGAGGAAGGGAGAGGGATAGAAAGTTAGAAACGTTGACGAGAGAGAAACATTGATCAGCTGCCTCTTGCACACACGCTACTGGGGATGTGCCCGTAACCAAGGTACATGCCCTTGACCAGAATTGAACCTGGGGCCTTTCAGTCCGCAGGCTGACGCTCTATCCACTGAGCAAAACCAGTTTTGGCAAAACTTTCAGGATTTATTATCTTTTGTGTGTATTGTTGAGCTCACTTTGCTGGTGATTAATTCTCTTCACTTTTATTTGTTGAAAAATATTTTTATTTCATCTTTAATCTTGAAAGTATTTGCTGGGTGTAGTATTCAACACTCTGATGATATTGCATTAAATTTTGGACTTGTTTATTTTGTTGAGATTTTATGTCATTCTAATTATTACTCCTTTGAAGGCAAACTTTTTTGTTGTAGGATTTTCTTTGAGTTCATGATTTGTCTAGGTGTGGCTATCTTTTTCACATCCTCTTTGGGAGTTTGTGGGAATTCTTACATCTGTGACTTGATATCTTTAATTAGTTTTGGAAAATTCGCAGCCATTCTCTCTTTAAATATTGTTTCTGCTTAATTTCTCTCTCATGTATTGCATTCCAATTATACATATATAGGCCTTCCCACCCCCAAGTTTACATTCTCTTTTAAAACATAAATTAAATAAACCTCAGAATTTTGCTCTTTCTCCACCATCGAGGTGCGCGCGTTCGCCTCTCCCTCACCATGTCTTCCCACAAGACTTTCAGGATCAAGAGGTTCCTGGCCAAGAAACAAAAGCAGAATCCGCCCATTCCCCAATGGATTCGGATGAAAACTGGTAATAAAATCAAGTATAACTCGAAGAGGAGACATTGGAGAAGAACCAAACTGGGCCTATGAGAACTCACTCATGAGAGATGACTCACATATTTATGCTGTATCCAGGTTGCCTACACCTTTAAATGATTGAAAAGTTGCTACTGTCTGGACAGTTGGAGCATTTTAATTGGAGAATTAATGGACTTGTGATTTTGCTCTGTTGATTTTTTTTTTCTTTCCGCCTGCAATAGTAGTATGGTTCAGTAATAAATGTGTGAGATCTTTAAAAAAACAAAAAACAAAAACAAAAAGAAACCTCAGAATTTAAGAGCAACAACCCAGCCAGCATGGCTCAGTGGTTGAGTGTCAATCTATGAACCAGGAGATGATGGTTTGATTCCCAGTCAGGACACATGCCCAGGTTGTGAGCTCAATCCCCAAGTGTGGGACATGTAGGAGACAGCTAAACAATGATTCTCTCTCATCATTGATGTTTCTATCTCTTTCTCCCTCTTCCTTCTTCTCTAAAATCAATAAAGATATATTTTTAGAAGTAATTTAAGAGCAATAAACAAGCTAAAATCACACATATTTTGATCCATAAACTAATACTGGGCCTGGCCGGTGTGGCTTAGTAGTTGAGCGTGAATCTGTGGAGGGTTGGGGGGAGGGAGAGAAACTAATATTGGGTTATTACCCAAATAAAAAAAATATGCACATGCTCAATTATCACATTTGTATTTCAGAGAAGAGGCATTAAGGATTTATGCCATAAGTTTGTTTACACTTACATCTAATATGTTGAGTCCAACAGTTTGATACACTTTTCAAAGAGATTGTACATCTCAAAATGTTTCTTTTCATATCTGTTTCATAGATTGACTAAAGTATTTTATTTCTTAAGCAGTTGGTATCTTACTATACAGAAAGGTATGGCAATCCAGATCCAAAGTAATAGCCATCATAACTAGTGCCACCTGTTTCCACTGGAAACCCAAAAGGCAAATTCTTCCCTGGGCCTTCTCCACAGTGACCAAGGAGGCTCTGTCCCAACAGGGCACTGTCAGAAACCCCATGAAAGGCGCAGACACTGAAAACGGAGGAACTCTAGTCCCTCTTAATGTATTGCTTGCATTTACCCCTATATTTTATTTATTTTTGACTGCCCATGCAATCTGGATATTTCTATAGTTCTATTTTTTAGTACATGAATTCTCTTCTCTGCTTTGTCTAATCTGCTATTAATTCCAAACATTGAGTTGTTATTTGGTGGTTATGGTATTTTTCATATCTAGAATTTCTATTTGGTTTCCTTTTATGGTTTCTAGTTCTTTAATATAAAGTTATGAAGGAGAACAAAGAGTTATTCAGTATATTCACAAGTAGGTAGACTATGGCCCTAACTCTGGCTTTGAAACTTTTGAGGAGCTGCTAGAGACTATTGCAACATGGGCAGTACCCTCTGAACAGCTGTCTATTGACCAACAAAGAGCTTCTTAGTTTATGGATGGAAGTTCCAAGGTGATGGCAGCATCCTGCTTGGAAGGCTGCCACTCTGATTGAAAAAGTGAAAACAAGTCAGCTCAGTGGATTGCCTTCTGTTTGCCCGTGTTTGAGTTTTTATTGACTCATGGGCACTGGTCAATGGCCTGGCCATATGGTCAGGCAGAAGGACAATGAAGAACTGTCCAATTAAAGGGATGCCCATATGGAGCACAGCCCTATGGAAGCCACCATGGGAAGTCGAGGGGTGCATTACAGCAGGTTATGTTGATGCCCATCTTATTTGTACCTGGTTTGTAATTCATAATGGTGATTGAGTGATGACACTTGGAGGCTAATGTCATTGAAAGAAGAATTTTATTACTTACACTAGAGCCCCAGTGCAGGAAATTGTGCATGGGTGGGGTCCTGCCCCTGATTGGGGTGGGTGGGTTACTGGGGGGATGGGGGAGGGCTGGCCAGGGTAAGGGGACACAGAAGATTTGCCGGCTGGCCAGCCCTGCCCCCAGAAGTGCACATAATAGCGAATGGTCATTCTGGTATTCTAGTTGCTTAGGATTTTATATATATATATATATATATATATATATATATATATATATATATATATTTCCTGAGAGGAAGGGGCATGTTACTTGCCACACAGGTTCACAAGAAAAGGCACCAGTGTTTGTTTTTGTTTTGTTTTTAATAGATTTTATTGATTTATTATTATTATTTATTTTTTTTACAGAGAGGAAGGGAGAGAGATAGAGAGCTAGAAACGTTGATGAGAGAGAAACATCAACCAGCTGCCTCTTGCACACCCCCTACCGGGGATGTGCCCGCAACCAAGGTACATACATGCCTTTGACCAGAATCGAACCCGGGACCTTTCAGTCCGCAGACTGATGCTTTACCACTGAGCCAAACTGGTTTCGGCAAGAAAAGGCACCAGTGTTCATCAGGAGATAGAAAGCAATGAGAGGAAGGCCTAAGCCAGATTTTTTATTTGAGTTTTCATGGGAAAAGCAAGGCAGGGCAGGGTAAACAGCTTTGAATTGGCTCGTTTGAATAGTTCTGGTGGGCTTTGGGGTATAGAGGCTGTCCTGGTTGTCTGGTACCTGCTAGGTGTAGGGCAGGGGTAATATTGGCATGGTGTGTGAGAGTAAGATAAGGCGGTGGACCCTGGCTGGGTAATTCAGTTGGTTAGAGTGTCATCCCAGAATGCCACGGTTGTGGGTTCTATCTCCGGTCAGGGCACATACAAGAAGGAACAAATGAATGCCTAAAGTGGAATAACAAGTCTATGTTTCTCTTTCTCTTTGTCCTTCTCTCTGACTCAAAAACAAAACAAAACAAAACAAACAAAACAAAAAAAGTCTGGGCTCTACATCACAGTGGAAATTAAACAACTTTGGCCATGAGTTTGGCTCTATAATATAATATAGACTCTAAGAAAACACAGTACACCACTAGGGGAACCTCTTTTTAGAATCAAAAGGTTACTGGAGCCAGTGAGTGAGTATCCCGGTGTATTCACTTGAGGTGGCCACCTAGGTTTATGAAATGCAGATATGGCTGAATTTAGACATAGTCCTTGAACACACAAATGCTGATAAGACAGAGAGGCAGAGACTGCAGATGGCTACGGGAAAGATTCCCTGTGGAGAAAGCCATGGACATAGCTGGCAAGTGGAAATGATGTTGGTAGCACTGGGAAGCTACAAATGAGTTCTGACAAGAACAAGACACTTGCCTTGGGACTGGGCCTTCCATACCTAGTGGTAGATGCAAATGCTCAGAGTACTATAAAAGAACTGGAATTGAAAAAAAAATTTTTTTTAAAGAACTGGAACTGAAGGTATTATACCAGTTTGGACCTCCAAGTAACATTTCTCCAGACCAAGGAACATGCTTTATAGCCCTTAATGTTCAACAATGGTCAGAGAAATATCTTCCTCAGAGTAATAATTTAATAGAGAATAAGAACGGGCAATGAAAACATCCCTTGTCTAACATGGGAGGGGATAGAGGCATGAAGTGCTGGCTTACATGCCTTTATGAGTGTGTGCTCACACTCAACATTAGGGGTGCCAAGGCAATGTCCCCACTATATAGATTCCTCTGCTTTTTTGGTGAATTTGAGGAATGAGGTGAGGTGGATGCTGGTCTGACTATATAGTTCTTTTTATGGGGGGAGATGATGATACAACCACACATTTTTTTTCTTTCCTGCATCCCCTCAACTTCTTTTCCTATCTGATGAAGTGTCCCAGGAACATGGCTGCAACTATAAGTGCCAAAAGAAGGGATGATTTCGAAGAAGTGTGGATGAAAAGGGAGCCACATACAAAACCTGACAAGCTCAAAGGGAGGTCAGCATAGCTGGCCCTGCAAACTCAAATCGAAAGTAACCACATAGGAGGGTTTGAACCTAAAGTTTTCTAACTGAAAGTGCATCCTGGTGGGTAAACACATTCCAGGCTTGTAGCTTCTTTGAAAAAGGTCAATCTTTACCTTAAACGAGCCTGTCCATTATTGTCTTTTTGCATCTAAGATAACATATCTTTGGAATGTCACAGTAATCTCCTTTCCAGACCTCAGGGCACACCCACCAACCCAGAGCCCCTCATTGTTATCATGTTCTCCCACATACCATCTCTGTGTGCTGTCAGTGCTAATTGTTAACTATCCTATACCCATCAATGTAAAAAGAGGTGTTCTCTGGTTTACTCCTTATCCAATCTCAGATATTTCCCTGCTTTGCTGCCCTGATCTAAGACCACCGATGAATTCCATGTAACCCCCCCGCCCCCTGCCAACCCCTTACATCTCCTCCTTTGATTCTAATGTATAAAATAAGTTATAAAGCCCTAGCTGGTTTGGCTCAGTGAATAGAGAGAGTATCGGCCTGTGGATTGAAGGGTCCTGGATTCTATTCCAGTCAAGAGCACATGCCAGGTTTATAGGCTCAATCCCCAGTAGGGGGTGTGCAGGAGGCAGCTGATCAATGATTCTCTCTCTTCATTGTTTCTCTCTCCCTCTTCCTTCCTCTGTGAAATCAATATATATAATTTTTTTTAAAATAATAAAATAAAATAAAATAAGCTATAAAGCTACCATTCTCTGGAGCATTTTCTCAAACCACTGAGAGTTTGTTTTCCAGCAATTGTCATCATTTTGGCTCAAATAAACTCATAACAATTCTCTAGGTTTGGATGTTTCTTACGTCAATCGGAGGAAACATAAAGATTTAAAAATATAGTTTAGTTAGAATTCCTAGAGACTGTGGAATAGAATGAAGAAATAAAATGGAGTCACTATAGTCAATCTGCTAAATTACTAAAATCAAGTAGGTCGAGGCATGAGGAAGTGATCCAATTGTTATTTTTATGAGCCTGGGAACTTAAACTTTGAACTTCCCAGTCTTGTGTTAATACCTGAATATACATCAGACCTCCAGATAACCCTCTGACTACGCCCTGAAGGGCTCCCACATCCAGACCACCTGACATCCATTATCCAGAGCCTCTGACGTGACCAGATCACTTGGGACGCTTCATCCAGACTGCTTGACTTCTGACTAATAACCATCC